TTCGTACAAAAGGGAGTTTTTGGGTGGGGGGGGCGGCGCAGGCGGGCTTGCCATGTCTTCAACATCAATGCAAACCACGTTTTTGGCCAATGCGACCAGGCTGAGCCTCGTGGAGCGTGTGACAAGCGCCACCTTGACCACCTCCTTCTGCTTGATGTTCCTTTCGGTCAACGCGGTCATGCTCTTCGCCCTGAGAAGCAAATCCGTCTTTCGGGAGACGTCGCGCTACATCCTGCTGTACAACCTGCTGCTGGCCGATACGCTGCAGCTGACCTTCAGCCAACTGATGTACTTGCTGTCAACCGCCCGCGTCACCCTCTCGTATCCCTTGTGCGGCGTGCTCAGCACGCTCACCAGCCTCCTCAGTCGGATGTCTCCCTTGTTGCTGGTGGTCATGTCGCTGGAGAGATACGTGGCTGTGTGCCACCCTCTCAGGCACGCCTCCATCATCACCGTCAGGAACACCATGTGGGCCGTGCTTGCCGTGTGGGCTTTTTGTTTCTTCAATATCCTCATCCAGGGGCTTTTATTGATCATGTTTCCATTCGAGCAGCTGCAGAGTCTGCAAATGAGGCAGCCGTGCAACTCCAATGCCATGTTCCTCGTGCCGCTTTCTGAATTGTACGCTAACATTTACACGTATTTCTTGTTCACCTTGGCAAGCCTGACCATCGTTTTCAGCTTCGTCGGTGTGGTGTTGTCAGCCAGGTCGGCGGCCACGGACAAGCACTCGGCCCATAAAGCGCGGAACACGCTGCTGCTGCACCTGGTGCAGCTCGGCCTCAGCCTCTTGTCGGTCTTTTACTCCACCATTATGTTTTTCATATATGCTTTGTTGAACAACGTCAACTTCTCACAAATTCAGGCCATTTTGTTTGTGTGCTTTTTTCTCCTGCCCAGATATCTGACTTCTCTCATCTACGGGCTGAGAGATCAGAGCCTGCGGGTCGTGCTCGTGTACTTTTTTCTGCCGTCACCTCGGAGGGTCAGTCGCTCCTGATAAAGCTGCGACTGTTTCCTGAGAGGATCTCTCTTTTGTTCCTATCCATTCACAATGTGCACGGTGTCACTTTTAACTCTGCATTCATTTGTTCGTGTTCGTACAGGAAGAATATGCATCTACAAATCTGTCGTGATGTGTGCAACAGAAAACGACAGTTTTGTCCGTGCGTCACACTGAGTCGGGGTGGAGGAAATGTGGAAGGGCCCCCGCATCAGCCACTGCACACACTGTCTCGCCGACTGCTTTTCTGGGTTCGGAAGCACGGCGCGCAGTGTGCCCGCCGGGAGGTGGTCAATGTTTTATCGGCTGTCGTGATACTTTGTGTGTGAGCTGGCTTTATTGCGCATTAAAATGACCTGTTTCCAAAGTGGTATGTTCTCATTTTCTTAAAATTGATATTTGTCAAACAACAACCACTCACCCCAACTCCCCAAACTTGAGCATAGAGGATAGAGATGAATGAAGAAAATTGCAGAAGTGACAAACCGAGCAACAAAAGTCCTGATAATTTTGAACAAAATTAATTTTGATGAGTTTAAAAGAAAAACAAAACAGATAATCGGCACTTCACCCGGGAGAAAAGCCTGCTATACCCGAGGCGTACCGTCGTGCCAGCTACCTCAAAGGGCCACGCCCTTAACACACACAAGCACACGCACACACACACACACACACACAGTCAAGGTTCACTTGTGCACAAGAATACATTTAGAATCTTTATTGTCATTGAACACCGTACAACAAAATTGGGCATTCAAGGACCGCCAACAAAATCGAACATCTCAAGTGCAGAAAAAAAGACAAACACCACTAATCCATTGAACATAACAATATTCCACAAAATGGCACCAAAATAATACTTTCATTGACTCAGAACAAAAGTCCACCTCCCACACACACACACACACACACAAAAATCAGTGACCATTCCCAAACCACAAATATGCACAATTGTAAGTTCCGTCTGTGCCACCCTGACTGCGTTGTTGTCTGCTGGCTTCCACTCACGTGGCTTCACTCTAATTGACAGATGACTCTCATTCTGGTCAGCAGAACAGGGGCCAGGGGGGCTGGACACGAGTTCGGACACTGCTCGTATTCAACCTCCGACACGCAGACTCGAGTTGGAAACATTCGGAGTTAATCGGGACCGAAGGGGAGAGACGCCTCAAGACGTACGTGAGGAGGACGTGTGAGAATACACTTGCGGAAAAATGGGTGCCGGCTTGACTCTGTGCTGCTGTCACTTGTATCTGAAGTACAAAAGGGGGGCGAAAAATGCCGGTTTGCGGGAAGCTGCTGGCCGGCGGCTTCGTCTCTGAATTCAAAATGGTCCGGCCTCATTCCTGCCCCCACCATTCTCTCTCCTTGCAGCATGCACACGGCCAAAGCTTCCAAGACAACGGAGCAGCTGTCCGACGAAAGCAGCCATGACGACACAGAGGAGGAGATTCCGTTCGGCCGGCAGCTCGAAACCGGGCCTCCGTGGGTCGCGCAGCAAAACCTGAGGAGAAATAAAGGCGCCGCCTCATCCGCGAGAAGGGAATCGGACCGAGAGCTGCAGGCTTTCATCAGCATGAGGAATCAGGTTGACAAGGCCACAGAGGTGAGACGCCTGGGTTGGTTTCAAGTCTAGTCCAACAGATATTCCCGAATTCAGTCCAGTCAAGAAAAAAAAAATGAAAGGCCAAACAAGCACGATGACATCATAATAAAGGCGACCCACAAGCTATAATTGATCCATTCAGGATGGAGTGAAATTGTTCTTGAAACTTGAGATAGGTGGATAAGGCCTCATGAAGCGTTTCGCCACATTACCCAAAATGTACCGATACTTGCCGGTACTTTATTACTCATTACTGATACTTGCTGGATCTTAAACATCAACAGACAAACACAACTTTGAAGTTTGACATTTTATATTTCACCTTTATTTATTCACGTAACCCAATTGAAAACTGATTTTCATTTGCAATGCCGACCTAGCTGCAGGAGCAGTCTTTAAGGCAGGTTTTCAGGTTAGTACCTGGTTAAACAAAGAACAAAAAAGAAACAAACACAAAAAGTAATTTTACTCAACCCCCGCCCCCCACAAAAAACAATGACATTGGTGTCCGAATTGGAAAGTGGCGCTTTTCCACCATCTAGTGGCTTTGACAGGTAATTCTAAACATTTTTTACAGCATTTTTTTTTACAGGAGATACAGAACTGAGCTTATGCCTACCTTGATACATTTTTCCAGTCTTTTTTTTTTTACCAATCTTATCTGTGTTTTTGCCCAAGGAATGGGAACAGCTGAATTATGACATCCATACGTTACGCTACACCAGACGAGAAGTGAGAGCACGATGGAAGAAAATCCTGCTGCAAATGGGTGAGACACTGTTTTTAATTCTCAAGCAGGATAACAAGCAACAAGTTTACTACATTTATATTTATTAATTTATTTTTGGAGGCGGTACTCGGTGAAAGAAGTTTCAAACCACTGGTCTGTGTTGTTACTTTGGTGGGGAGGGGGTCTCTTCCTGCAGGTTATCAGTCTGAGGCGGATGCCTTGTTGGACGTCAACAAGCAAAGTTACTTCAATCGAGAGCAGGAGGGTCTCGCCCGAGCTACTGAACTCTTGACCCAGTTGTTGGAACACACTTCCTTGTTTCCTGTTGGAACAGGACATCGAACCTGATATCTCTGTGTCATGGTACACGTGCACGCACACACACACGCGCCTTTAGTCTAGATCTAGACCCCCATGCCCCAAATTCCCACCGCCATAATTAACTTAATATAAGAGCAGCTAGCAAAAGGGTTAATGAATGGAAAGACATGCGATTGGCTGTATAAAGCGTCTGGACTTCCCTCGGCATGTCTCTCTCTCTTTTGCACGGCTTGTTCAGGATCGCCTGGTGTCCCTGGACAGCGCTGAAGACTTTGTCAGACTGGCTGTGGAAAAATATCCCAAGAGACAAGATGGCTGAAACACAGCACATGATTTGTGTTAATGGATGCATTGATCGACTGTTTTGTACTGTGATGTATATTGTGTAATTTTGTTATTTTTGTTTTTCAAGTGTGTTTTCTATTGGACTTGGTAATTTAATTGGTAATATTGGTAAATATATTGAATCCAGTTCACCCTACATTGGTTTGCTAACGTTATGGACTGCACTGTCATAGGCTACTCAACAGCATCACAGCCTCCAGATGGAAAGCCTCTTGATATCCGAGGTCTTAACCTCATGATGACCCATCATCAGGAGCAACTGGTGGTTGAGTATCTTGCTCAAGGACACTTCGACATTGTCGGGAATCGAACAACCAACTTCTGTGTTGGGATACGACCACTCTTTCACTGAGCCAAAACTCCGTGAAATTATTGTACATATTTGTAAATCTGAAAACCACGTGAAAATAACTATTTAGTAATCTCCAAAACATGTCAAAAAATTACGGATGGATATATGTATGGGAATTCTTTGGACACAAATTTCTCCCCATATACTGTACTGTGTTTCAATTCTATTCAGTATGTCAAATATTCGGCAATCTTTCGAGTTAACGTCCCGCCTTGAATTTAGAAAAGAAGCGCGTGGTTTAAGTTAATAGTACCGCCAAGCGGGCGGAGCGGAACCTTGAAACGTGCGGGCGTGGCCGTCATCCACTCCACCCCCCACTTGACGGCCTCAGGAATGTAACACAAACAAACGCAATACAGCACCCTGCCGCGGCGACGTAGTGAGTCTCCATGCCTAGAACCCATGTCGGAGACCTGTCAATCAAGTCCAAACAATGCAGCATAGGAGCTAAGAAGAGAACGGCAAAGGCATCAGCGGAAGACCGCAGGTAATTTGAGTCTTCCTCGTGAACAAGGAAGCCGTTTAATTGCTGGCTTCCCCATAAAACGTTTCGCCCGGGTGTCATTCCTTCGGAGGTGTATTCCAACCCGGGCTAGGATGACGACAGCTGGATTAGCATGACTAGCTCCGGCTAACGTTGTATTCCCATTGCGGTAGGCTACTACTTAGCATTAGCCTCCGAGCAAAAGGGTTCGCTACTTTGCCCGGTTAAATCAGCGCAAATAATCAGATGATACATTTTTTATGTGCAGCTGCCTTGTCGAGGTTTAACTGTGGCAGCCCGCCTGGTCCTTAAAAGCGACGATGATGATGTTCTACCTAACCCTCCCATCGTCATGTCACGATAAACGCACACATATGTAGTACACACAAACATGAACATAGGCAATTCCTCTTTGGAATAATCGGCGTTATTTCACATATCGGCTCATGTTTATTTTAAACGTGTTGTTCGTTTAACGGTACGGCGACCGTCTGACATTCTCGTCGCGATTAAAATAAAAACAACTAAATTTAGATGCAGCAGCAACCTATTTTTCTGGTCCCGCCTGGAAACATCTGATGATTGAGTTTCCAACAGTGTCGCCATCATACGATGAGAAGGAGATCAGTGGCCTGCTACTGTCGAATTTACCATACGGTGTAATCAATGCATTTTGTACGTTGAGTATAATTTTCATTCCACTATATCAAGGGTGTCAACCTCAATTTGGTTTCAGGCCAAATCTTGTTTTTTCCTCATTATGAGGGTGATATTGGCTTATCATATGATTACATAGACAAAAAATAACATTCAAATAATGGGGGATAACTACATTTGAAAGCAGAAGTTTGTTCAACCAGTGATTTATTCTAAAATCCGTCTGTCAGACTCCTGTCCTTGAGGTCCTTTCCCTCCTCCAACTTACCTGATTCAAAGGATGATCATTGTCAGTCCTGAAGCAGCATGAGAACGATCATGATTATTTGAATCAGTTGTGTTGAAAACAGGCAGGACAGCAGCCCTTGAGGACTGACTTTGGACACCCCTGCTTTCGAGGGCCGCCTAAAATAATGCAGCGGTCCGGACCTGGCCGTCACGTCTTGAATTTGACATCTGTGCACAATATGCAGCAGACAGTGTGTTGCCACGTGTGTGTTATGTTGCACGGATCAACTCGGCTGTCACTTGATTGATATTACACCCAGTCATCTTTGTTTTTCCCCCCCATGTTTGCAGGTTGGCTGCCTTTTGCAGCCGAGTGAGGAGGCGGGAAGGTGGGGAAAGATGCCTTCTCCGTCTTTTAACCTCGATGCTCAGAGCCGATTTCATGACAAATGGCTCAAGATAGACTTACAGGTACGTGACGCAATCCACAAAGATGAATCGATGGGTTGCCTGATTCTGTCACTTGTCAAACTTTCCATGCGAATGAACAAGATCTTCAGGGCATACACGTAGATTAGATAAAAGGGGTGTCACAAAAACTGATTTGAATCGAAAAATTGGTTTTGATTTAAAAGATGCCAGTGAATCACATTTACTTATTCACTTGAAACGACATCGATATATGAATCAAATTGTTTTTTTATTGGAGAGATGCACTCAGCCCCTTTCTTAGTTCCACCATAGGGAAATTTGCAAGTAAATGTGAACAAACCATTAATTCTGATACATTGAAGATTGCCTCTTGTAGGGAATTGAAGTTATAATTTTTATTTGATCTTAACTAAAGCAACCGGATTCCAGCACAACAATGCGTTGATTCTTTTTTTTATTTTTTATTTTTGGTAATGTCTGGTCTCCTCTGGCAGTGGGCCTTCTCGGCAGAAGGACTGAGCGAGATGTGGAACGAAATGGTCAAGGATGAGGAGATAACCTTCAACAGCGAGGAATCGGCGCATCCAGGTATGACACCATCTTGGCACGTGCGGATTATTATTATTTTTTTCCCCTTTGAATCAGCAAAAACGCTATGGGTCAGTATGACCCGGAGTTTGTTTTATCATCTGAAAGTGCCAAATAATAAAATCAATTTCTATTTGGTTGGTTACCTTTATTATGACAACTTTATTTTATTTTATTTTTTTGATTTTCTTGAGTTTTGCTAACGGTTTAATTTGCTCTGTAGCATCACATTACTGGCAAATTGCCCGCTCTTGCGTTTTGTTTTTGTTTTGTTTTGTGTTGTGTTGTTGTTGTTTTTTGTTTGTTTGTTTTTTTAAATAAGCAAACATTTTTTAATGGGCGTTTATGTACTTCCGGGTCAGTATGGCTACTGTAGCCTGTAACGCTTCAGATGTCTTTCGCACATTTGGAAACCGTGCTTACGACCAAGAACACATTTTATGTTATGGTATTTCAAGCCCATTTAAAATTAAAATGGAATTAAACTTACCCTTAAGAAAAGTTCTGTCTGTAAAAGTTTTATTCTTTGGTTTTTCAACTAGTGTCCACACGCACGCACACACACACACACATGTGCAGGCGCGCAACACCCACATGACTCATTAGTCAAGTCAAAATTGAGTGAAAACATTTTGAATAATTAATGGCCCTAAATGAGTCTTGTGGGGACCCGGTCAGAGGTGTTGACAAGCTGGTCGGTCACGCCAGGAGAAGGCAAAGAACCCAAGCAGTTAATTAAGAAAAGTCCACACAACAACAAACACTGACGTCATCGACACAGTTTAGTCAAAAGTTTACTTTTACATCAGGGGCACATGTAATATAATATATACCACCACATATGATGGTTAATTATTTCAATTTAGATCATATATACTCTAATTGCCCCACGGGGATAAAAAAAGTTTTCTGAATCTGAATATATACTATGCAGTATAAATATTGTCCTAATCAATTGTAGTTTTGTCACAAACAGCGGGGGTGTTCCAACTACAGTAGGATCACACTCCTCAGCCTTCCTGATAAGGTCAATTCAAACGTGCTGAAAAGAAGGTTCCATCAGTTGAATATCGGATTCAAGAGGAGTAGTGTAGTTTTGGTCCAGCAGGGTTCTGGGGGCTGCATAGTAGTTTGCCCAGCTAGTCTAAATGTGCTTTGTGCACTTAGCAAAGACATTCGACCGTGTCCCTCGGGGGAATCGGGTGTCAGGTGTCAGAGTTCGGTCCATATGGCCCAGAAAAATTCAGATTTGTTTCCAGTGAGGAATATGTCTCGGTCTGTCGCGGTGACAAAGGAGCTGAACCGAAAAGCAAAATTCATGATTTACCAGTCAATCTACGTTCTACTCTGAGCACCTCCCTGTCCAAACCAGTTGGACAGGATCTGAAGCGCCCATATGAGGGTAAACACAAAGAACATGCACACCGGTTGTATCAACTCCCATGCAACCTCCAGGAGCCTGTTGACGTTGGCCCCCTCAACAACGGACCCACGTAACACGGAGCGCTCTTGCGCAATGTCTCCAACTTCCTTGGTTTATAAATGAATGTTGAAGTTTGTAGGATTGCAACACTCGAGACCGGTCTTGAGATAACAGTACATGTTCAGAGATTAAAGTCCTCCGGATTTTCCCGGAATTCCGGGTTTTTCAAATTTTTATGAAAATTTATCCGGAGAAGTGAGGAAAATTTGCATAAAATTAATCCGGATATTAGTTGACAACATTGAACGAAGACGCGTTTGAGGTCGTTGTATTGCGTCCACGAGCGTAGCCATATTGAGGCACGAACACTAGTAACAGTAAAGAGATTTTTGATTGTGTAATAACGACAGAAGACATGACGGCGTTTGACTAATGGTTTAGCACAGGGGTCGGGAACCTATGGCTCGCGAGCCTTATATGGCTCTTTTGATGATTGCAGATAAAAAAATATTCTCGTTTGTTTATTAATGCATCCATTGAACGATTTTCACTGCTTATTTCCTGTTTGGGCTGCAGTTGGCTCCAGGAGCCATTTTGATTGGATGATACTGGCCAACGTTGCCGTTGCTGTGGAAACAGGTATACGCCTCCTTTTGAATCAACTCGCTCGGCCATTAGCTCAAAGCTAATCCTT